TTCATTCCTCCCCCCTACTTTGTGCAGAGTTTGAGAAAATGTCTTCAGAAAAGACAGGAAGTGTAGTAGGGAGTGAGGTGGAGCCTCTGGACTATGGGAGCATGGACTCAGAGAGTAGTCCGTCTCCCTCTAGTTCAGAGAAGACGGTTGAAGGGGTGAGAGGGGATGAGATGGTGGAAGTTGGGGGAGGAGAGGTGGTAGAGGTGGGGAGAAATGAGGGATGAGGGGTTGAGGTAGATAACATACCCTTCACCGTAGTAGAAGTAGAAGGTAATGGGGAGAGAGGTTATGATAGGAATGCAGAGATAGTGGAGGAAGTGAAGCAGTACCGATCTGAACTAAGGACCAGGGAGGACTTGTGTCACTTAGTAGAAACGTACGAGATCTCTTCTCGGGTACTAGTTAGGCCAGCTGGAGTAGAGGAGAGGGCATGTTCTGCTCCTCGGGATCATTGGATGCCCATATACTCCCATTATTTATATGCTGGGCTTAAGTTTCCAATTCCCGAGTTGCTAATAGGTTTACTGTTAGATTACAACATAGGGTTGACACAGTTGGTCCCCAACGCAATGAGGGTAATAATAGGTTTTTTAGTTTATTGCCGAGCTCAGGGGATTAGCGTGCCAACTGTAAATATGTTCAAGTATTTTTTTGTTTTGAAGGGGGGTAGCAGGAGAGATAAGGGGTGGTATTATTTCACCCCAAGGGTAGCTAATAAGAAGGGTAGGATTTTATTCACGGCAGGTCCTTCATCCATTAAGGGATGGAAGGAAAAATTCTTTTTCGTGGATGACACGGAATGGGGGAAAGGGGATGCCAAGGTGAGGGCGTTAGCCTCCTGGAAGGCCAAAAGGGCCAACCAGAATAAGTTTAGCTTAAATGAGGATGAGGAGGAAGAGGTGGGGAGGTTGGTGAGGAAGAGAGGGGATGTACTGAATATTATGGACCTCACCAGCGCAGCATGCATAGAGGCTGCTGAGCTCTATGGGCCAAGCGCTCTGAGTGAAGGTGTGTTTGACATATGCTGTAGCGTTAAATATAGAACATAGAATTGTGACTAATATTGTGTTTCTTCCTTTGCAACTGACATGAATCAATTTTTGAACACTGCTGGAGGGAAGGCCATCCCCAAGAAGCCAAGGAAGAAGTCACAGACTTCAGCCAAACGAGTGGATGAGGGGAGGGTTGGGAAGGAGGTGGTACCCTTAGCATCAGCTGAGACGGAGGAGGAGGTGCCAGCACTGAAGAGGAAGGGTTGGGAGGAGAGGAGGGCGCTGCAGAAGAAGCAAAAGGTGGTGGAGGAAGAGGGGAGTGGGGTGCCTGAGTTCGTACCTCAGCCTCCTCTTGTTGAGCTGGATCCCAAGCTCAGACAGTTGGAGGAGGGGGCTGAGGTACGGGCTCCTGGTAAGGGGAAGGGCCCTATTTCCCTTGCGGTGCCTCAGAGCAGCCTGTTCGAGGCAAAGAACATGATGGGGGCTAGGTGGTTCATCAACAGCACCTTCCCCGAGGTGGACAAGCGCCATGCGCAAGAGGAAGCTCTGAGGTACGGGGGAGCATCTGTTGTGAAGCACGTCCTTGAGGTATGTTAAATTAGTGCCGTTGTTTATTTATTCTGTTTGTTCTCCTGTTCTTTCTCTTTGAATTTCTGCTTTGATTTGCAGAGCGCGCGAGCTAGGTGAATGGTCTAGCCCAGGAGTTCAGGGATGGTGTCAAGGAGCGTGCACTCTTGCAGAGGCAGTGTGACCAGCTGCAGAAGGAGAAGGAAGAACTGGAGAAGAAAAACAAAGATCTGCAAGAGTCGCTGGACGAGGTGGTTCCAACTGTGAAGCAGTTGGAACAGGAGAGGTCGTCCTTGGGCACCAAGCTCGGCTTTGAAGAGACGAAGCGAAAGATCTCTGAAAGCGAGCGTGAGGCTCTGGCACAAGAATTAAAGCTGACAAAGGAGGCCTTCTTGGAGCTGAAGGGGAATGTGCAGACCTTGGTGCACAATGGGATGAAGGAGCACATCAGCAACTTCATCAGCTCCAGCTCGTTTGACAACATCGTCAACCTATACCGGCTGCCTACTGCCATCATCGCGTTTACGGACTGCAGGAAGAAGGTGAAGGCAGAATATCCCAAAGTGGATATTACGAAGATCACCTTTGGAGAGCAAGAAGAAGGAGTGGAGGAAGATGGGGAGAGCATGTCAGCAGACTTCCGTCCTCAAATTAAATTGAGGTGGGAGGATGATGCAAACGGACGTGCTGTTTTCCCTCCACAGTTCGACTTCGAGTTCGTGGCAGTGGAGGAAGAAGGGGCAGAGGTAGAAGTGGACGATGTGGAGGCAAGAGTGGAGGGAGCTGAAGTGGATGAGAATCAACCAATTCCAGAAGTGGAGATTCATTCAATTCCCTCTGACGATGAATAGCCTCTTCTG